AAGAGGATTCACTTTCATTCTTTTTTTCTACACAGGTACATTTATTATTGAATAAGCACCATCATGTGCTCAGTGTGATTAAAAAAAGAAATGTAGGCCTTGCACTCAGGTAGCTCACAAGAGAGAAAAAAAACCCCAAGAGAGGTCACAGGGGATAGCACTTGCTTCCATCACCCCTTAAAGGCATAAAAGCATCTTATTTCCTATTTCTGTTGTGCTCTGTAGCTATGGATGATGTTTCTCCAGCACAGGCAAAAGAAGAAGAGCACTTTATTAAATTTCTAACATATGATCCTAGAAAAATACTGGTTTAATATGTGTGCAAGTGCGTCCATTTGTATGTGTAATACTTTTAATATATATGTATATATATGTATTTAAAGGGATGTGTTACAACCTTGTGGCTTTAGAAAAACTGATTAGCTCCCTTTCCAATATTGGCATAGTAAAGACTTTTTGTCAGTTAGACTTTTGTGCTTTTCCAGAAGCTGTGTTTGGAACAACATCATTATTTTATATTAGATTTAAAGTATGGCATATATATCAAGTGTGGAGAAGCTGAACACCTTTTTCAGATGCTTGTAGCCACTGTTACAGACAACGCAATTCAGCTGCACCCTTGAAAATTGCTTTTGAAATTTCTTTACAAACATAGAAAAAGACTTAATCTATCACAATATTCTTCTCATGTTCCAAATACTTGTATTTTGAAAACCTCAACACAACAGAAATTACATAAAGAATTCTTATTTGACATATTAAAGACACAACGTCTTAAATTTCATCACTGCTTTCTTGACTGTGTGTCACAATTCTGTAAAGATCAGGCTCTTGTGTTGAATTGGGAACGTCTTCACTGGGATGAATCTATTGTTTCCCTGCTGAGTCTGGAGGTTTCAGTTTGTTGCCTGCTAAAAAGTAGGAAGTTCTGCTTAAAAAATTGGAACAAACAAAAAACCCTCCTACTGCAACCTCTGTGGGAAAGAGCCCACCAAGCAAAGGAAGGATCACACAGATTTTCCATTCAAGCCAACACTCTGAAGGGAGCTCTGAAGATGTAAAAAGAAGCTGGTAGCACCTTGCAACAGCACATCAGAAGAGGCTGCACCTGCTCCTCGACTACCTGAGCTGCCCCTTTGTTAAAATGCTTGTCTTGAAAGCATGGGAAGAAAAAAAGTGGAGGATGTTTTGTAGTCATTGAGTGGTTATGGGGAAAGGCCACAAAATCACCATGTACACTTTTCTCCTGCTCCCCATGTCAAAACTGCTTTTGGTGCAATAAAAGAAACCTACACTTTATCTACTATCTATCTACACCCATGTACACAGTATTATTTCACTTATCTGTTTACTGGGTTAGCCAAGTCACTGTCATATATTATTGTAAGTGATACAATATTTTGGAAGAAAAGAAGACAAATTTTGCTCCATGTTTTTTTGCCTTAGGTAAGCAACACTTTACATCTGTATACTCTAACACTTATTTTACAAAGCATGTTTAGTGACTCAGAAAAAAAAAAAAATCTCGATTTGCAGAAGGAGTTCCCTTTATTATAAAAAATATGTCAGCTTTAGTGTCATCCTACCAAAGTATTTTAAACTGAGGTCTTATAAATGCATGGGGACACACACACATATACACACATGCACACACACACACACACATACGTGGAATACACATACCACTCACTATCAATATTCAGTTAATACGTTAATAAGAAATCAACTGTGACTTTTATTATATTTTCTCCCCTGTATGTTAAGTCAATGATCTACTTAAGTATGTTGGCAGCAATTTATATGTCTTGTGATTTTATATTTCACAAAGAAATACTGTGGTTTATTTACATTAAAGAGATGTACTATGTAAAACTTTACCTTTGTTAAAAATCATTTTGTCTTAACTATTAAAATTATTTCATGCTTTCAAAAGGCACAATTAAGTATCTAATGAGAACTTCCATTCAATGTTACACATAATAGAAAAAAAGAAAAAATGTTTGAAACATCAATGATAATATTTTAAATACATTGGCATGGGAGAGTAGATGTCTTTTTGCTTTATTAAACTGACAGTTCAGTTCTGAAACTTCATTTTGAAAAGATTTTAAAAGGATTTGTGTCTTTAGAAATAAAAAATATAACAGGCATATGTAAAAAATATAGAAGAGAAAACCTGATTGTTACTACTAATGAAATAGCTGATGACAAAATAGTAGTCTTTTTGATTTTGATCACAAAAAATAAACTGGTAGTGACAGGATATGATGGATAGATTTGACATCCTGGCAAATCACTGTCATTGATTCAATTATTCTAATTCAGAATAAAAGCTGTATACAGTATGTGTTTATGCTACAGTGGAGTTTTTTAAGTGATTGACATTCATCATATTAGTTAGACAGTTTTAAAAGCTATGTCTTTGTTTTACACAGTGTTGTCAAGAAAAAAATAAAGTAGAACCTGGATTGCAGGGGAAAAAAAAAAAAAAGCAAATCACTTAACCAAGTCTTGGTTCTAAACCCATCAAAATAAGTTACCATTATTGCATCCTATTAACATGTTCTTTGAAGAGTCAATTTCACTCCAGCCATGTAATACACTATTATAAAGACTAAATTTTGAAACTGTAATGCAATCTTACAGCTGGGTGGCTTGGAAGTTCTGCAGAGAAGAAGATATTACCTTTCAAAATGAAAGTCAGCCTCAGAAGAAAGAATGCAAACCACTTTAACTTACAGGTCAGCTTTGCTTTACTGTTCTTTCGTTTGATGAGATATACACAGAGATGCAGACAAAATAGTTGGAAGTCCACAAATTGTATATCTGAGGGTATAGAAGCCTGAATTACTTGTATATTCTGCCCTGCTTTAGACCAGCATGCTGTGATATCCTTCTCCTAGCTCAAATGCACTCTTCTGGTTTCCTAGCATTAATGTAGCTGTCGGTTTGAATTTCAATCTTGAATTATGTCTGTTGACATAATTTCATAGTGCTGACTTCAATTGTTTAGCATCACTGTTTTGAACTACATGAGGAAATCAGTTCTTTTCTCTATGGTCAGTAAATTCCATTCAAGTCCATTTTAATACATGTAGTAAGGCATAAGGCTAAGTAATTATCTATAATAATTAAAACCCCAATAATTCTTAATTACTGGCATATTAGAATAAAAAGTAGATTATGTATTTTAAATTTCTTATTCCATATTTGACAAATGAACGGAAAGATTTCCTGAAATTTATGAATGGTATTTCAATTACAAAAAGTAATGTTTTTAAAACCATAAAAGATTTTAAAAGGATTTGTGTCTTTAGAAATAAAAAATATAACAGGCATATGTAAAAAATATAGAAGAGAAAACCTGATTGTTACTACTAATGAAATAGCTGATGACAAAATAGTAGTCTTTTTGATTTTGATCACAAAAAATAAACTGGTAGTGACAGGATATGATGGATAGATTTGACATCCTGGCAAATCACTGTCATTGATTCAATTATTCTAATTCAGAATAAAAGCTGTATACAGTATGTGTTTATGCTACAGTGGAGTTTTTTAAGTGATTGACATTCATCATATTAGTTAGACAGTTTTAAAAGCTATGTCTTTGTTTTACACAGTGTTGTCAAGAAAAAAATAAAGTAGAACCTGGATTGCAGGGGAAAAAAAAAAAAAAGCAAATCACTTAACCAAGTCTTGGTTCTAAACCCATCAAAATAAGTTACCATTATTGCATCCTATTAACATGTTCTTTGAAGAGTCAATTTCACTCCAGCCATGTAATACACTATTATAAAGACTAAATTTTGAAACTGTAATGCAATCTTACAGCTGGGTGGCTTGGAAGTTCTGCAGAGAAGAAGATATTACCTTTCAAAATGAAAGTCAGCCTCAGAAGAAAGAATGCAAACCACTTTAACTTACAGGTCAGCTTTGCTTTACTGTTCTTTCGTTTGATGAGATATACACAGAGATGCAGACAAAATAGTTGGAAGTCCACAAATTGTATATCTGAGGGTATAGAAGCCTGAATTACTTGTATATTCTGCCCTGCTTTAGACCAGCATGCTGTGATATCCTTCTCCTAGCTCAAATGCACTCTTCTGGTTTCCTAGCATTAATGTAGCTGTCGGTTTGAATTTCAATCTTGAATTATGTCTGTTGACATAATTTCATAGTGCTGACTTCAATTGTTTAGCATCACTGTTTTGAACTACATGAGGAAATCAGTTCTTTTCTCTATGGTCAGTAAATTCCATTCAAGTCCATTTTAATACATGTAGTAAGGCATAAGGCTAAGTAATTATCTATAATAATTAAAACCCCAATAATTCTTAATTACTGGCATATTAGAATAAAAAGTAGATTATGTATTTTAAATTTCTTATTCCATATTTGACAAATGAACGGAAAGATTTCCTGAAATTTATGAATGGTATTTCAATTACAAAAAGTAATGTTTTTAAAACCATATATATATATATATATATTTTAAAACACATATATATATACACAACTATATAGTTTGCCTCTGAATAACATGTGACAGTGAATTGCTTAGTTTCATTCCTTTATTTCAATAAACCATCCAACTTAACTTACTATTCATACAAAATATTAAACGGAAGTATATAAAAATTCCATTGGCAAATATGTCCCTCTATTTTTATTGTAAAAAAAAAAACAAAACAGTAGAAAAGGAACAAAATACTGTGTGTTTGCAGTCAAGCAGAACAATGGCAGGACCCATAACAAAGCTTTAACTCAAAGCAAATTCCAAACAAACCCACGTTACATTAGTACATTACATTACATTTGTACATTAGTACAAAGAAACCAGGAAAGAAAATTACAAAACAGAAAAGAAGGCACCATACGATAACGTGCCTTTTTAAAGACTGCTGGGTCAAATCATTAAGAAAAATATTTATATAAGTCATTAACACTCATAATTAGAGTGTCACATAAATCTGAGTGGAGCTGCTAAGTAGAAATCACTAGAAGTCCAGGTGCTTCTTGCCGATGGCCATAGCACCACATCCTGAGCTCAGCAGTTTGGCGGATTCTGCCAGATCCTGTTTGCTTGTGCGGCTCACTGTGTCTGACAAGTCTGGAGGCAAATGCAGTCGCTGTGGCAGGAGATTTTCAGGAGGGAGAGAGAGAGAGACGAGGGGAGAGAGAGAGAGAGAGAGAGAGAGAGAGAGAGAAGAGAGAGAAAAAAACAGGGGAAAAAAAAAAAAAGAATAATTGCAGCAGAATTTCTTTTCCACGGCATATTTCAAAAATGCAGTTGTCTCCTTGACTGATCGATACCTACCCACACAAATAAAACACTTCCCAGACACTCCTTCAGGCTGACCTCAAACAGTTTTGCATGTTTTCAATATATTCTATTCTGTAAATCTGAATAGATTTTTTCCCTTGTGAAAACTTTCTAAACAAAATCCAAATTTGCTTGAGGTATTTATTGATTTCTACATGCATTCTTTCTTTAAAAACCAGTTTTTTTTTGTCTGAATGTCAACCCCTACATAAAATTATTTCAATTCTGTGGCATTACAAGTATATATTTATTTAAAAAATGCATACTTTGTGGCAGTCTGAAAAGAAATGATATGGTGGTGACAAGATGGAGAGAGCTCACCCTGGTTGCAGCATTATTTGTTAAATGTTTCTTCTTCTACTGACAGTTGTTAATAAAAACAACCAGTGATAGTAGTTTCATTTGTATAAGGCAATCACCCTGCCATCCCTTGTGAGTTGTAGGAACATTACATCCATTTTACAGATGAGGAAACTGAGACACAGGTTACATGGTTGTCCACAAGCACACAGTCCTTGCATAATAAACCTTATTTTTCAACTACAAAAAATATTTCAACTCTCCCTCTGAGGATCTTTTAGACTGGAGATGTATAAAGGACATGACATTACCATTTAGCTTTCGTAAAGTAAGGTGAAAATTAATGTAAACCTGAGGCCTTCCTTGGTTAATTACTAGTTTGCTTTTGAACATAGCAAGGTACTGAAAGCTGCTCAGAGGAGACAGTTGAACATCTTCTACACAGTGCAATAATTTATGAAACTGGTACAGAAGGAGCATATTTCCTGAAAGATTTAGTAGGCAAAGGCTAAACCATGTGGCTCTTTTTAAATGTGCACACTTTTGAAGGGAACAGGGTAACAGCAATGGGGGCAAAACTGCATTAGGAGGCCATGTGGACTATCTTTGTTCTCTGCTTTTGCCATGTTTTTGCTTTTATCACAACACATAAATACAGCTACCTTTCATTCAATACCTTTGCAACTTTTGCAGGATAAGACAAGAATTCCATTAAAAAGCATAAGAAATATCTGTATTTACAGTGGGCTGACTGTTCAGTTCATTGCTGGCTTTGAGATTGTGCAATTAGGCATAATTTGAGAGGTGCTCCACAGGGCTTCCTACCACTGGCCACTGCTGGTTGTGGGCATCCCAGGGAGAAGCTGTGCTGGGTTCCTGCCTTCTCCAGGGGAAGGAAATGCATAAAGTAACACATGTGGAGTAGGAAAGTCTGAGCCCAGGGTGAGATACCTCAGTGTTGAAATAGGAGGAATGTCTGCATTTATTTGTAGCACTTTGCTTATGAAGCACAGTTTATGTATCAGACCTCACCCCCCATATATTTAATTACGATTATCATTTAATAACGATGCAGCTCTGACATTTCACCATATTAAAATTGGTGCCGTGGGACAGTGTCCTTTGCTTACAGTCCTGCCTTTATGTCTGAGAAGGTTAAGTGTGGCTGTGGATGTGAACTATGGTCCATGATGCCTCATTTCTACACCAACACAATATAAACCAGTGCACAGGCCTATCCTGTTCATCTGCTGGCAAAAAACATTCGCTAGGAAATCTACAACTTGGATTGTATGAAGGGGGCTGTAACCACTGCAAAACAAAGGATGAGGGAAAGCAGGGAAGTGCAGGAGAGCACTTGGCAGATCTTTCAGTCACGTTTTACTTCCAAGAAACTGTGCAGTACTCTGCTAGCAGGGTAGAGGGAATCTGGCATGTGGGAGGCAGAGAGACAAGTGAACTAATCCAATCTTCTCCCACTTGCTGTTGGCATCTCTCTGCCCTCACCAGTGAGTGGAAGAGGTGCTTTCCTCTAGGGGAGATGCAGTACTGCTGCCTTCCTCCTGCCACTACTGACCCTTCACCAAAGCTGCCAGATCCAGAGCAAGGTGATGAGGAGCAAACAGAACCCAGACTCAGAAAACTCACCTTCATAGGGCCTAGCTAATATCACAGATAGGGAACAACTAAGCCCTGCCACACTGGTCTGGACTTCAAATGTGGTCAAAAGAAAAAAAAATAAAAATATTTACAGAGCCTCTTGGTCAACGCCGTGCTTGTTAGCTAATATATATTATAAACAGGAATTAGAAGCATATTTATAAATTTGCAAAGACTCAGGTAGAAAAAGCAAAAGTCAAAGATCCTCATATTGGACAGTGTGACTAAATTAGGCTTTTTACAGATGTATTTGCTATGATACAGAGTTTCATTAAACATGCACATTCTCTTCTTCTCCCATCTTACTCAGTGAAGAGGATCCACGCTGCTCTTTTAGTGACTGGCCATTCAGTATTTTGTTTTCTTGTCACTATTTACTCTGAACTTTTCTGCTGTATTTATTGTACACTATTCAAACCTTGTTCTGAAGACAGAATGGCTTCAATAGCCCATGTCTGTACATAGCACTTGAACGCTTCACAAACACCAACTGTGTTATTTTCCTAATATTCCCGTGAAAGAAAGCAGCAAAGCTACCTCCATTTTAGGGACAGGGAATTGAGGCACATAAAAACACAAGGTAAAAAGGCATCTACTGATTTCAGAAACACAATCTGAGGCATTTAGGACTTGCTTTTCCAGAATGTTTAGTGTTGTATTGCATTTCACATGAGCAAATGCTAACTTCATTTGCAGCTGTGAGTGCTTAGTATTTCTTCAAGAACTCCAAGTCAGGCACTTGGAAAATCAGAGACACAAAATAAGAGTAGAGAAATAAGAATGCTGGGTTGAAGTAAAATGATCACACAGAAGGTTACAAGAGACACATCATACCTTCCACGATATCCTTTAGTTGTCTTAGTTACAAGACCATCCCTCATGCAATCCTTGCCCTCTCTACAATCCAAATATGCAAATATTACAACAAATTGCTGGTTCTCCAGAAGCATATTTCACTGCATATGCCACATTCATCCTCAGATCAGACGTATTCTGAACAATAAACAACACTAGGGTCCTCTGAAAACAACTGTATATTACCCTGGCATTAAGATCTGAGTCATAGCACACACACAAGCTACCTCTGAACAAAGCCTGAGCAGGCATTTAAAAATATAATTCCTTACATTTTCTGTGTGCAGCTTAAAAATATAAAGAGGGCTGCAAACAGTAATTCTATTAAATATTTTGACACCATTAAAAATATTTTAAAACTTCAAACACAGACAAACTGGAAATTCATTGCATGGCACTATACAGACATTCAACAGGCCTTTATTTTTGGCACCAATAGGGACATTGTGATCACTTGAACTAAGGCAGTAAGTGATAGCATGAATAGGCTGTGATCCTTTTTGAACACCAGCATTACAGAATGATCAGACATTTTCACAGATATTTGCTGACCACAGAGAAACAATCACATTTAAAGTCCCAGTTTAGGCCAAAATGTTTTCTGGTGGACAGACTTTGCTGCTATTTCTGAGGCTGTGACCTCCATCCCTTTCAATCTCGCTTTCTTTTATCAGTCAGATAAGAATCAGGCTGATTTTGCTCACATCTGCAATCCCACTCCTCGTTGCTCAGGCCTCCCATCCTGCAGTTGGCCTTCGTGACAAAAACGTCCCTTCTCTGGTTATCTGCACTTCCCAGCCTCTGCCCCA